ATAAGGAGTGCAGCCTATGTCTGATGAGAACCTGCGATTGTAGCAATAAACAAAACAGTTTAAAGCTTCTTCCCAAAAATGGTCTGGCAAGTTGGTATCATGAAGCAAAGTCTTCATCCCCTGTTGGGGTGTTTGATTTACTCTCTCACAGAGACCATTTTGCCATGGGGACCTGGGACAAGCAACTTGATGCTCAATGCCAAGTTCAGCCAGATATTGCTCAAATTCAGCTGAGCAAAGCTCTCCACCTTTATCTGTGAACAAACATTTCACCTGGGTATCATGAACATTTTTCAACCATGCACAGAAATTTTTAAACCTAGAAAAAGCACCACTTCTATGTTCCAGCATGTAGACATAAAAATACCTGGAAAATTGGTCAATTAAGACCAAAAAATACTGTGAATTACCTCTAGAGGAAGCTAGAGGTCCCACAAGGTTGGCATGAAAGAACTGATAAGGCGATGAAGCCTCCCACCTGGACATTCTTCCCTTGGGAGCCATTTTGACCATGTTTTCAGCACAAGAAATGCATTTCATGTGGTACTTGCAATTCTTCAAGGACATGCCCTCAACCAAATCCGGCATTTTAGCAACGGCCTGAAAATGCAAATGACCTAGCTTGCGATGGTAGTCATGTACACAATTATCATGCAATTTCACATTTTTACCCACAGTCATATTGCAACATTGCTCATCATTTACAGCATTAGAATGAACATCAGTTACAGCACTGGTATAATAAGGCAACATAAATAAACCCTTTTCAAATTTGCCATTAAAAATGACCTCATTGCCCTTGATAATTTCACACTTGGTCTTAGTGAAACACACTCAGAAATCCTGTGAAGTGAGCTGCGATATGCTCAGAAGATTATGTGCCAGGTGTGGGACATATAGTATATTCTTGATTGTTGTGTTGAGGCTTTTAAAAAACAGTCCCTTCTCCCTTGCTCTGCAACAGCCCTCCGTCAGTTTGATGAATCTTTCCCTCCTGCATCTCAAGCTGGATGAACAGGCTTCTGTCTTTGCAAAGGTGTTGGGTGGCGCCTGAGTCAATGACAAAAGACAACTGCAAACGTTGACTGGAATAGTGTGTGATCAAAGATTTGGGTTGGGCAGGTCCCTGGGTCTTCCCCCCACCTCATCCTCTGGAGTCATGTTTAGATTTAGTGCACTTTTTACAAAACTTCTGTAGATGTCCCACTTCTCCGCAGTTGAAGCATCACTGTGCTTTAAAAGCTGTGCCCCCCTCTGGACTCTGTGCAGATGGTTTGGGAATGTTGCCAGTAGCCCTCTCCTAGCTATGATTAATGGCTACTCTCTGATCCATCTCATTAAGCAAAACACCCCCCTACATGATCAACAGTTAACTGTGCTGCGGGGACAGCTGAGCAGCAAATGAATCAAAGCTTGCATCCAAACTGTTGATAATCATGAAACAGAAAATATATTCAGCAAGCGTCACTCCCCTCTTCTTAAGCTTCTCCCTAAGGAATTTTAGCTACGTCAGATGTGATTCCAGATCACAACCAGGTTAAAGCTGCATTCGTCGAAGCTTCTTAAAATATATGATAGAAGAGCCAGCAGCTGTTCTCAGATGGATATCTCTGAGAGCATCCTACATCTGCCTTGCAGTTTGCTTACCTTGCAGATTGATTAATTGGGCGTCAGAGACTCTCAATGCAATCGTGCCTCTAGCCCTCCAATCTGCGGCAGTCCACGCATTCATGAGTGGGGCTGGGGCATCCTCCGACACGACATGCCATAGCCTCTCATGCAGCAGCAGACTCTCCATTCGAAAGCTCCATGTGGCGTAGTTCGTCGCATCTAGGCAAGGAAATGTGAAAGCCTTGTTTCCACCCTGGGTTGCGGCCATCTCTGCCATTCTCTTCAGCCAGCAAATGCAGCCCACAACAGCAGATATTTATGACTGGCAAAGCACTTCTCTTTCAGGCTAATCAGCAAACTAGCAGCAAAACAGACAGACATGCCTCATTAGCAGCTGGACTTGACCCACTTTCCATGTCGCCATAAATCACACAATTCTGGACCCATAACCGATAACAGATCACAGGACGCTCCCCTTGTTCTCTGAATACCATACACAGCAGCGACACACATCCGAAAGATATGTGCACACATTAGCAGAGTCAGCAAAAACAAGATTGTGCAGGAAATGTAGCATTAAGGATTTTACTTACAGCAAAGAAAACAAACAAACCGAAAGAATAATGGCGTGCTGTGAGAGCATCTTCTCACACATCCTCTCTGTCTGGAGAGAGAACAAAGAGCAAAAGTTGTCAATTTGACTTCCGCCCATATACATACAGTGGTAAGAAATGTAAACATTGGATCATGTGACCCTTTGCAATAGTTGGCAGTGAAAATACTGACAATAAGTACATCAAACATTAAAAACCTCAATAACAAGGCTGCCTTCAGATGTCTTCTAAAAGTCGGATAGTTGTTTATTTTCTTGACATCTGATGGGAGGGCGTTCCACAGAATCTGCCATGCTAATCTGCCCAGGCAGCCATGGGCCCTCTGAGAGGTTTTTTTTTGGAACCACGATGCTCTCGTGGTCTCGCCCTTCTTCAAAGCACTGGGGCTCTTTCAGCCGAAACAGCTCCCGGCTGCCATAACGGGAGACCAACCGGAAGTCAGCACAAAATTGCATATTAATGCCAGGTTCCTAAGGTCATTCCCTGCTGATGTCAGGTCTGGGAAATGTCTTCTTTGGGGGACCACCTGCAGGGTGGGTGGGGTGGGGGGGCATCTGAGAAGAAGCAACCTCTGCCACTACCTTGCAATTGGGGAGCTAGGCACTGGATATCTCAAGGGGGTCAGTTGTCAGACATCTCTCTTCTTTGTGTGTGGCAGGGAGGGCCTATGGGCAGTGGTGTAGCGTGGGGGTGCAGGGGGGGCCGGCCGCACCGGGCGCAACATCTGGGGGGGTGCGCTCGCACTTGCAGCTCTCTGCCCCTACCTGGCAGGGGCGCAAATTACTTGCCTTGCCCCAGGTGCTGACAACCCACGCTACGCCACTGCCTATGGGAATATCCAGACACGGGTATGTTCCACTGTGAGGTACACCTCCTCTTTTCTGCTCTGTGGAACCATACAAATCTGATACGGACAAGCAATTGCTATATGCAGCAAGGAAAGAGATTCTGTACCTATAAAATTTTACTGGTTCTCCTCTGTGGAACCATACAAATCTGATACGGACAAGCAATTGCTATATGCAGCAAGGAAGGAGATTCTGTACCTATTAAATTTTACTGGTTCTGCTCTGTGGAACCATACAAATCTGATATGGATAAGCAATTGCTCTACGAAGCAAGGAAAGAGATTCTGTAACTATTAAATTTTAGTGGTTGGCATCTGTCTGTCTTGCGAGACAATGGAGTGTGCCTCTACCTTAGCAGCACTGAAATGACCTCCTTGGGGTGCAAACCTGGGCAGGGTGGATAATGACAAGACCACCTCTCAGCCTTGCTGATGTAGTCCAAAGGAAAGCAGAGCAAGACGTTTGGCACCAACTTAGTTGCAGGGCTTATTCTTACATGACTGCCTGCTTGTTGATACCGATACAGTGCTACCTTGGTTCTCAAACTTAATCCGTTCCGGAAGTCCATTCCAGAGGGATTGTTTTCCCATAGAAACTAATGCAAAATGGATTAATCCATTCCAGAAACTTTTAAAACAACCCCTAAAACAGCAATTTAACATGAATTTTACTATCTAATGAGACCATTGATCCAGAAAATGAAAGCAATAAACAATGTACAGCAGTCACACAATCAATCAATCAGTAGCTGAACTGGGTTCCACACAGTCACAAAAACAAAACAAAAAAGAGCCGCAAAAATGAAAAATATATAGCAAAAACAGACAGACATCAGCGTAACAGTCAAAACGGAAGTGTGGCACTCAAATCGGAAGCATAACACTCAAAACGGAGAATCTTCGACTTCCGAAGAAAGTTCGCAAACCAGAACATTTACTTCCAGGTTTGCAGTGTTTGGGTTCCAAGTCGTTTGAGTACCAAGGCGTTTAAGAACCAAGGTACCACTGTAATTCATTTTCAAAAGCACTTTCCCTGTTACATGCCAGTATGAATAAAGAGCAGAGGTGGTCTATTTTGTTGGAAAAACTGGACACGAAGAAAGGGTTTAATTTCCTTCATGAGTGTAAATCACCCCAAGAATGAGATAAGCCAACAGGCGCATGGTCAGCCAAGCCAGTTGCTATGACAACAGCCTATTGCCACCCATATAAGTGATTCTGGCACATCAGCTCATTGTGTCCGGGGTCTTGTGCTGCGTGTTGGGGTCAGGCTTGTGAAGTGAGGGAGTCTGTTCGGAAGTATTGATTTGGAGTCTGTGTTACGTCTTCAACTGCTGGAGCAGCAGAGATACTTTTACTGGTATGTATATATTGCAAAAGCTGTATGTATCAACATCCGGAACTGTTTTACTGAAGCCTTGTCTTCTGCCACAGTAAACGATTGGGACCTTAGGCTGCCTCTGTGGGGTGAGCGGAACTGGGGGCAACTTTCGCTACCTGGGTATCTCACCTCAGATCGCCAACACATCCCCGTTCCAGACTTTCCTCCTTCTGCAAGGCAAGTTACTCATCCCCTGGAGTAACGTTGCACACAGAAGCTAAGGTGGCTGAAAATGAGGAAGAATCAGTCCCATCTCCACCCCCCGCAATGAAGACCCAACAAGTGTATTTAAAATCCTGCTAATGTTTTGACCTGTTTACAATGGTTTTGTATCTACATTGTAAACATTTCCCATTCTTTTTAAAATTTCTTGTCTTCTTGATTCCTGAGCTTCCAGACGTATGGCTGTTTTGTGGTGGCTGCAATCGTGGCAGAGGAGGAGGACACAAAGGGGGGGGAGGGAGTGGAGGGGCGGGGCCTCCACCGAGGTCATGATAGAAGTGTTGCGTTGATGCAAAGGGGAGCTACGAAGGGTATAAAGAGCCAGGTGGTCCAGGAAGGAGGCAGATACAGGAGGCAGAAGCCAGGAGAGGAAGACAGCCTGCGAGCAAGATTTGCATGCCCACCAAGATGCCTGAGACCTCTCTTCTAGTCTATGTCCTCTGCCTACTCACCTTGTCTTCAGCTAGCTACATCCAGAATTCGCCTTGGCGAGGAAAGAGAGAAGTCATAGAACGCAAAGAATACAGACCGGTAGGAGAGAGAGAGAGGAGAGAATCTCAGTTGATGCACCTGCAAATCTCAATTGATGTGCCTGTCTCCGAAAGAGACTGCTTTTCTGCTCCTTTGCTGGTTATGGGGGAATTGTTCCAAAGGTGTCTTTGTGTCCCTAATCCCTTTTCTGCTTTGCTCTGCCTCTCAGACCTGTTTGTGCTCTACAGGGATGGAGCACTGCTCCTTATTTCCATAAGGTGGAAATAAGAGAGCAGTGCTCCATCCCTGGAGAGAGGTGCTGCAACTGCTATAGCCAAAGAGTGAAGGAATGCTCCCTCAAGGCTGCAGAGACGACCCTTCCTTTAAAGGACATTTAAAGCGCACCCGCCCCAAATCCTGGGAATGGCAGTCTACCCCTCACAGAGCTACAATTCCCAGGACCCTTAACAAACTACAATTCCCAGGTTTATTTAGGTGCTTTAAAGGTGTCCTAAACACACGGGGTGTGCGCTGCCGTAGATTTACATGTCTATATGAGAGGGAGATAAGACAGTAAGCATCTTAGGAAAGACTTTAATTTAGTAATGGTGCAGGGATCTCGAAGCACAGCTTTCAACCTTCCATGCCGGCCCATTTCTGTTGCCTGTGTTAAGTGCTGCTCTTCTCTGTACTTCTGTTCCCTAGAGAAGCTTGCAGGGCTAGCAGAGCCAAGTGTGGTTGCTTGGGGTTCAGATTTGGCCCACAGCTTGCCACTAACCCATAGGTTAGACATGTGTCAGTCCTCTTCATTTATCTGTGAGCTGGACATTGTGAAACCCTCCCTCAAGGGAAGCAACAAGGTCATGCTCTGTGCACAACTCATGCACTAGAAACATTGCAGATTAGATTTTAAAGTATTTTTCATACCAGCACTTGTACTGAAGCATTTACTCCCTTTCAACGCTCTTTTCCAAGCTGCATGGCAGGTACTCTGCCTTCCTGCAAGACCATTGCTTTGCAAGGGCCTCAATCTATGCCTCACTAATTAAATGTGAGTGCAGTGCAAGCCTAGACATAGCGACTCAAAAGTAAGCCTTATTGAGTTCAGTAGGACTTGCAACCAGGTAAGTAAGTACAGGATGGTAAAGTAAAGCAAGGGTGGGGATGCTGAGGTCCTCCAGATGTTGTTGGACTACAACTCCCAGTATCCTCTGGGGCATTTGGCCATGTTCTCTGGGGGTCTGATGTGAGCTGCAGTGCAACACCAGCTAGAGAGCCACATGTCCCCCATCCCTGACTTTAAGCTTCAGCACCTACTTAAAACACTTTTCTTTTATTCAGATGATTTTAATACTTTTTGCAAGTTGCTTAAAGGCTTCATTACAATCAAGCAGGATATAAAATTTGTTAAAGAAATACATATTAATTGGTTGTGATCAGCTTGTTGAGCCAAACGTTCACATTGGCACTCGGTTCAAATGAAGATTCCTGGTGTGATTGGAGTAAAAAGAAAGTCCATATCTGAACTTTGCTAAATAGAAAACAGATTCAGAGAGAGGCACATCACTCTGCCTGGTAGATGTGGTGAGAAATATTAAATATAAAATGATTAACTAATACAATGCCTGTATGAAATGGGGAGAGGGAGAGCAATGTGACCACCTTCAGCTCCTTCGAGAAAAGGTAGGATATAAGCGTTGTCATAATCATGATAATGTGCATTAATATTCAGTGTGTCTACCCGAGTAACATTAAGTGGGATGTCACCCATGGTGTTTAGACCTAGGACAATATGCATAGGACTTGAGCCTCAAATGGTTTTGAAAGGGGAATTAGAGAAATCCATCCTGGGGGACAGGTCTGTGTTAGCCAGCATGGTTGGATGAAACCTTCAGCTTCAGAGGTAATATACCTCTGAATACCAGTAGCCAAGGCAGGGACAGGGATTCCTGACTGTCACTTAGCTTCACTTAAGCTTCCGACAAACACACAGATGCCCGGTTTGTCTATTTAGCAGTCCTTTAATTCCCGACATTCCAGAAAACCTCCTGGGTCAACCGCAGCCAATGGCAAACTGCGACTTCTCCCTCAAGTAACAGAGAAGAAGAGAGAAAAACTCCTCCCAGCTCGAAAGCTGACGTCAAGAAAATGCTGAAAGGCATCATGGGAACAACTTATACCTGTTAAGTTCCAAACCCCATAGGGGACAGGTCTGTGTTAGCCAGCATGGTTGGATGAAACTTCAGCTTCAGAGGTAATATACCTCTGAATACCAGTAGCCAAGGCAGGGACAGGGATTCCCCTGCTTGTGAGGTACCTGGCAACACCCGGCTTGTTGCTGTGGGACAGGGAATGTTGGTCTGGATGGATTTTCGTGAGCCCTGCTGGATCAGACCAAACACCCATCTAGTTCAGCATACCTGTAGTCACGTTGCTGTAGCCAAACTCGAACTCAGCACCACCCATTCTCTCTCTGTCTGTCTCTCTGTCTGTCTCTCTCTCTCTCTCAGTGCATCACCTGTGGTCCTGAAATGAAAGGAAACTGCTTTGGCCCCAGCATCTGCTGCGGAGAAGAATTTGGCTGCCTCATTGACACCGAGGAAACTCAGCGCTGCCTGGAGGAAAATGACCTGCCTGACCCCTGCACGTCCGGCTGGAAGTGGTGCGGTGAAGACGGGAGATGTGCAGTGCCGGGCACATGCTGCACTGTCGGTAAGGGTATCCGTGTGCGAGAGATGAAGCTCAGCAAGAGGGGGTGCTGGAGAGAGGAAGAGGGGGAATGTGAGTCAGAAAAGTCAAGTGGAAAACCACCGCCAAGGCAAAGACACATTAACTGCTACAATTCATGACCACGGGTCATTTAGTACGGCCCCTGAAATGCAGGAATCTCAACTAGATCATACAAGACAGAGGACCATCCGACTTACCATTAAAAACTTCCACTGCCAAGCAGCTCTTAGGCTCAGAGGGTTCAGCAGCAGAACGTTCTTCCTAATGTTTAGTCAGACTCTCCTGTCTTGTATTTGAATCTATTGCTTTGGGTCCTGGAGCAGCAGAAAAGAATCTTGCTCTGTCTTCCATGGGACAGCCCTTCAGATATTTGAAGACGGCTCATATCACCTCTCCGTCTTCTCTTCCCCAGGCTAAACATACCCAACACTCCTTCAACCATTCCTCATCAGGCTTGGGTTCCAGACCCTTGGTCACCCTGTTCGCCCTCTTCTGAACACATTCCAGCTTGTCAATATTAAACTGTGGTGACCAGAGTTGGACACAATGATCCAGGTTGGGTCTGAGCAAGGCAAAATAGAATAGTATTGTTACTTCCTTTGACCTGGACACTAGACTTCTGTTGATGCAGCTTAGATTAGCATTCACTTTTTTTGCTGCTGCATCACACTATTCTCTCACGCTAAGCTTGTGGTCTCTACTAAGACCCCAAGATCCTTTTCACATGTTCTACAGTCAAGCCAGGTGTATATTTGTGCACCTGGTTATTCCTGCCTACGTGTCAAACCTTACATTATCCCTACGGAAATTCATTTTTAAAAAAAGTTTGGGCCCAGTTCTCCAATCTGTGAAGCTCATCTTCAGTCCTGATTCTCTGAGGTCTTAGCTACCCCTCCCAGTTTGGTGTCACCTACAGATTTGATTATCATCCCCTCTTTGCCTTCGCCCAAGTCATGTTGAACAACAAGGGGCCCAGGACAGAACCCTGCAGCAGTCCTTTTCTCCCAGGATTGGGAGGAACCATAGGGGAGTCCTTTTGGGCCTCAGTTAGTCAAACAGCTACAAATCCACCTAGCAGTTCACATCCTCTAGCCCACATTTTACCAGCTTCACTGCAAGAATACCAGGAGAGACTTTGTGACCAACTCAAAAGGCTTGCCAGAAGATTAAAGCACAGGAAATTTCATTATTTGTTTTTACTCCTCTCTTCCACAGAGAGCTGCACTGAAGATCCGGAGTGCGTACGTCCCTGAAGTCTGCAAGGAGGCAGCCTCCGAAACATCGGTTCTCCAACTTGTATTTCAGAACGCCCTCAGAAAAAGAAGAATCCGAAGAATATCCTAAATAGCGTAAAGAAAAGAAAAAATTTGCAGATGAAATTTGCAGCTGCTCCTCTCGTACATGTTTGTTATGTTCTTTTATTTGGCTAATTAGTAGAAATACATTAGGTGTGCTGCAAAACCTCCGCAGCTTCGCTTCTGTTTTACTCTGCTGGGTTTGGGTGCTCACATGAGCAGCTGTGAGTCCACAGCACCAGGACCTGCTCCTCAAGAATGCTGCGTTGGTGTTCCTGTTACCGGAGGAGTCATCTGAGGGTCCGAGGAGGTGCTGCTATCAGCCAGCTCAGAGAGAGGCTGCCAACATCTGGTGTTGCATGTTTATAGCACATTCAAATCACTGTTTTTTACTAATGTATCTGAGTCCCAAAGTGGAGCTTTTCAAACTGAATTCCATTAACTTTGCAGCTGTGGGACACAGAGCTGTCTTTCCCATTGGTGTTAGTGGTACATTGCGCCAGGGCGCCAGCCTCTCAGGGGCACCCTAGAGAGTGGGGGAGCTGCGCAGCTTTGCTGGCAGCCTCCCCTTTCCCTGCACGCCTCGCTAGCTGCGCCCCGCCAACTATTTGGCTGGCAGGTGCGCAGCTTCCCTCCCAAGCCTCTGCTAAAGATGGCCCTGCTCCCGGTCGCGCAGCCTTCCTGGGCTGCCTTTTTGGGCGCCTGACGCCGGAGAGTATGTCTGCCAGCACGTTTTCCTGCTTGATCGCCACTACCACGCTGGGGATCAGGGCAGTGGGGGAGGCAGAGGTAAAGGGACCCCTGACCATTAGATCAAGTTGTGCCCAACTCTGGGGTTGCGGCGCTCATCTCGGTTTATTGGCCGAGGGAGCCAGCGTACAGCTTCCGGGTCATGTGGCCAGCATGACTAAGCCGCTTCTGGCGAACCAGAGCAGTGCACGGAAATGCCATTTACCTTCCCGCCGGAGTGGTACCTATTTATCTACTTGCACTTGGACATGCTTTCAAACTGCTAGGTGGGCAGGAGCAGGGACCGAGCAACGGGAGCTCACCCCGTCGCGGGGATTCGAACTGCCGACCTTCTGATCGGCAAGTCCTAGGCTCTGTGGTTTAACCCACAGCGCCACCCGCATCCCTGAAAGTGGCTTTAGCTGGTGGCTAAAAGTGAAAGTGGTTTATCACTTCCCAGATTCTGCACATATTTTATGATTGATTGTCTTTCAATATTATTGAAAGCTGCCTTGGTAGAAAAGTAGGATAGGCATTTGTGGTGTGTGTGCATTATTGATAGGCACCCCAAAACAGAGGTGGGGGGGCAGCTCTCTCCCAACCCAGGGGAAGACCTCTTCATCCTTAACAGCTGCATAATCAAGGGGCTGAAAATTAAGCCTTATATGATGAACACTTGAAGGAGCTGGGTATGTTTAGGCTGGAAAAGAGGAGACTGAGAGGAGATATGATAGGCATCTTCAAATATCTTAAGGGCTGTGACATGAAGGGGGGAACACGCTTGTTTTCTCCTGCCCTGGAGGGTAGGACTCAAACCAATGGCTTCAAGTTGCAAGAAAGGAGATTCCGACTAAACATTCGGAAAAACTTTCTGACAGTAAGAACTGTTCGACAGTGGAATGGACTCCCATGAGAGGTGGTGGCCTCTGCTTCCTTGGTGGTTTTTAAGCAGAGGTTGGATGGCCATCTGTCATGGATGCTTTACCTCAGATTAGATTACCTTTGGGATCCCTTCCAACTCTTAAGATTCTATGATTCTATGAGAGGTTGCATTCAGCAAGCCCTGATTCCTCCAGACATCCACTTTCTCTCAAGCAGAGTGATGACAAACCAGTGCAAATATTTTTTTGTCTGTGGTCTCATTGTCTCTTCTACTTAAGCAGATCTGAACTAATGTGAATTCATTCTGTAGGCCCATTCTTAACCCGAAACCGTTCTTAACCTGAGGTGCGCTTTCGCTAATGGGGCCTGCTGCTGCCACTGCACCACCGCTGTGCGATTTCCAGTCTCATCCTGGGGCAAACTTCGTAACCCGAGGTACTACTTCTGGGTAAGCAGAGTTTGTAACCCGAAGCATTTGTAACCTGAGGTGTTTTTAACCCGAGGTACCACTGTACAGTGATACCTCGGTTTTCGAACGTAATCTGTTCTGGAAGACCGTTTTGATTTCCAAAAAGTTCGAAAACAAAAAACTCAATTTGGAAAACTCAATACAGAGGCCGCATTTTCGACTTCCAAGGCATGTTTGAAAACCAAAGCATTTACTTCCAGGTTTACGGTGTTTGAAAACCGAAATGTTCGTCAACTGAGACATTTGAAAACTGGGGTACCACTGTGTATGTTCACCCAACTAAGGCAGAAGTGGAATCAAAGTACGCACCATAAATCATTCAGCTTTTCTCCCTGTTCAGTGAACTTTAACTCTGGAAAAAGCTATCCCGCGTCTCCAGCCTTTAAGCTAGACAGGAGCAGACAAGGGAAGGAGAAGGGAGGCAGAGCACAGCAGCTCATAGCACAACACGGTGCAAATGAGCCAAGAGATCCTGTGCAAATGAGCCAATGCCCTCCTAATGTGATTAATTTGATGAAGGCTTTGCTCCCATAAGAGAGATCATCACCGCCTGTGAGGTTGCTGCCCCATCCACTGCCATGCTAAAACTAACATCTCTCAAAACATTCTTATTCTAATCATAACTGATTTATCAATCGCCTTCTAAGCTGCCTCCTCAAGGCGATGTGCACCGAAGATTCTGTATTTTTTGCACCATAACACTCACTTTTTTCCTCCTAGAAAGTAAGGGGAAATGTCTGTGTGTGTTATGGAGCAAATGCCTACGGATGGCGGGGGGATCTACTGTAGTCGTGAGCAGAGGATCCATGGTTCCCCTTCCTTCCCTCCTCCGTGGCTTGGTTTGAAACAGCAAAGCGGGAGAAGAGCCGCTGAGTGGGGAGAAGAGAGGGACAGAGAGCCTGCTTGCTTTAAAGGAGCAAAGCGGGAGAGGAGAGGAGCCGCTTACACAAGTGTAAGCGGCTCCTGTCCGGCTGGCTCCTTTAAAGCAACCATGCTCTCTGTCCCTCTCTCCTCCCCACTCAGCTCGCTAAATAGCAGCAAAGTTTTTCAGCTTGCTAAGCCGGGGAGGTGTGAGAGAAGCAGAGCCTGCTTGCTTCAAAGGAGCAAAGTGGGAGAGGAGAGGAGCCTTCTCCTCTTATACCCCTCGCCTGCATTATTAGCAGTATCCTTCTCCACCCACCCCACGCGTGTTCCTTCTCCCCTTAAACCCCTCGCCTGCATTATTAGCAGCATCCTTCTCCACACACCCCACGCATGCTCCTTGTCCCTTGAGTGCTTTTCCTTCCCTCCCCACCTAAAACGTGGTTACAAAGCATGGATCCACATGGATCCTCAGGATTTTTGCATTGGGCTACTCCAAACTCACCGTCAGATCACATGTCTGTGGCCACAGCATGAACCACAAAAATCATACATCCACTGTTTCGTTTAGATATTTTTTTTCTTGTTTTCCTCCTCTAAAAACTATGTGATTGTTATGGTCGGGTGCGTGTTATAGAGCGAAAAATACGGTAATTAAAAACAGTTAAAGACGCAAAAAAGCAACAAATGCATTTGAAACAAGACTGAAACCCTGACAAGTTGACACTCTTGGTAAAAATCCACTTACCCAGCCAGGAAAGCCTGTCAGAACAAAAATGCATTTGGCTGTTTCCAGAAAGGGCAGATGGCAGCTGTCTGTCCTATCATGACAGGACTGCTATTCCACAGAACAGGGGCAGCCACACTAAAAGCCCTGGTCTGAGTTACTCCGGAGAGGGGCTCTGAGATCTTGGGAACTTACAGGAGAAACTGCCCTGTGGACCACGGCCTTCTGCTGGGTGTTTAAGGGATAAGCCGGTCTCTCAATTATATATATGTTTAAGACAATAAACAGCAACAACAACAGCATCAAATTTAGTGGTGGGTTGCATGTTACTGTATTATTGCTAGGGTGGTGCTGTGGGTTAAACCACAGAGCCTAGGACTTGCCAATCAGAAGGTTGGCGGTTCGAATCCCCGTGACGTTGTGAGCTCCCGTTGCTCGGTCCCTGCTCCTGCCAACCTAGCAGTTCGAAAGCACGTCAAAGTGCAAGTAGATAAATAGGTACCACTCCAGCGGGAAGGTAAACAGCTGCTCTGTTTGGTTCACCAGAAGCAGCTTAGTCATGCTGGTCACATGTTATGTACTGAGTTGAATAGGATCCAAAATGCAGCAGTCTGGGGGGGGTTCCGCTAGGGGCGCCACGGAAGATGGCCGACAATACCTTCTCTCCAGCTCACACGAGGTAATTTAGAGGTTGAGATGGAAGTAATCAGCCTCCCAAATTCTTCCCGGTGGAAGGGAAGATGCAGTCTCATCTGCGGCTGCCCACAAACCACCCCCAAGTTCATAAAGAAGGAGGGGGTGGGGACACTGGATGGAAAGCCCTCGAGGGAGCTCAGATCTCCTGGATGCTGTCTCTGTGAGCGCTCCAAGTTCCATTTCTTAAGATAAAAGATTGGATATAAGAATTATGGACATGCTTCGAGTGAAGAAAGGGTATTTAATCTGCTAATTAAGCCAGCCACTGAGGTGCCAAGAGTGATGGAGTGGAAGAAAGAAAATATCAAAGAATAACATCTATGCTGGTATGTTGAAACGGAACAGAAAGGAGGGGGGGTAAAACTTTTTCTTTTCCTACTACAATACTACTTAACAACCCTCCCCCCCCCCCGAAGAACCGTCTACATTACTTATAACAAGTGAGATCGGAAAATATAAACTGTGTGGAAATAATAATATTAACTAAAGCCTTTGTTCTTTGAAATATTTGGAAGAAGATAAAAGGCTCTACTGTGACGCACTAGTTAATCGGGATCCACCATTATGAGACAGAGTGAGTTGCAGAGATTGATAGTCATAGGGGGAGGCAAGCTCTTACTTTGATATTATATCTGTATTTCAAGATTTGGCAAACCTCCTCTGGAAAGACTAATGTT